ACTTTTACCATTTGAAACAGCATGGATGGAACAGGAAAGCATATGCTAAGCAAAATAAGCCAGTTGGAGAAAGATAAATATCACATGATCTCACTCATTTGTAAGATATAATGATCAACATAAACGGATGAACAAAAATAGATCCAGAGACAAATGGCAGGGGAATTGGGGTTAGAGATCAGCCAAAGGACTTGCATGCATGCATATTAGCATAACCAATGGACACAGACACTGGGGTGGTGCGGGCTTGCCCTCAGGGGAAGGAGTGGCATGGGGGGGGGATCAATCGGGGAAAAAGAGACATATGTAATACTTTAAACAATAAAAAACCAATTTAAAAAGAGAGAGATATGCTGGCTGTTTACTTTTTGGTTATCATTGGAAAATTAAGATTTCTAAGAGTTGACAATAGAGGGATAAGGCATGGACATGCATTCTGAAGGAAAAAGAGAGTAAGTTAAAGTTGTAAGAATATTCGTGAAAGTTTTAGAAGGAGAAATGTTAAAACAAGCAGAACAGGGAAACTGAGATAGTATAACAGCAGTTTGCAACCCTCTAGAAAATCCAGATACCAAGCAGTTGTAGACATATAGAAAATCTTATCTTCCCTAAACTAAGGACACTTAAGAGTAAATGATTTGAGAATAAACCTCATTTTGGTATATTAGACTACAACCCTCCAAATTAATGTCTCTTTCCCTCCAGCAGACCATTTGTCATAATTCTTGTTCTTCTAGCTCTTGCCTCAATAATACTAAAATTATAAAATAGTTTGTCTCCACCAGGTTACAAGCCCTACTTGTACTCCACCCCTAGACTCCATCACAACCTCCTTTTGTGCCCAGGCCTCATCATCCCTCTGACCCCCAAAGCAAGGAATTTGGGCCAGGTACAGGTGTAGAAACTCACCAGGGCAGAAAGCTCCAGATGCCTAGCAAGGGTTAAAACTGGGAAAATAAGAACCTTGCCCCCAGGGTAAATTACCCTCCCCTAGCAAATAACTAGTCAGGCAAATAAGACCTCTGATCTTTTCCTCCCTAAGATAACCCTAAGTTGTATCACCCTAAGATAACCCCAGGCCTCAGTTGTATTTCAGCTCCAGGCCCAGAAAAACAGCAAAACCAGACAAGTGACACTGTGACAACCTCAGGACCAGCTTTTACTTCCTGTCACTCAGCAGGACTGCTTTCAAGCTTTCACCAACCAGTTTCCTGGGGGAAATCATGCTGCTTTGACCACTCATCCAGCTGACTACTATCAAAGTCCAACCCTCTGTGATCTTGATGTCACCCTCAGCAGGAAGTAAATACAGAAGATATGAACTTTGTCCCTATTCCATAAAACAAAAAAGCTGGAATGTTAGGTTTGATCGAGCAATTGAATCCATACCCCTCCCCTGAGAACTGACTTTGTGCACCAGGCCTCTAGTCTATAATAATAAAAGTGTAATATGCTAAATACACTGGACAGCTGAATGACCTTCCAGACATCATTCTGGACGTCCTTCCAGATGAAGCTGCTGCAGTGGGGGCCAAGGCAGAGGTGGTTAGAGGCGATGAGACAGGCAGGCAGAGGCAGTTGGGGTGATCAGGCAGGCAGGCGAGCAGTTAGGGGCGATCCAGCTGGCAGGTGAGTGGCTAGGGGTGATCAGGAAGGCAGGAAGATGAGCAATTAGGAGCCAGCGGTCCCGGATTGAGAGGGATGTCCAACTGGCAGTTGGACATTGTCTGAGGGGTTCTGGATTGCGAGAGGGTGCAGGCTGGGCTGAGGGACCTCAGTGTGCATGAATTTCATGCACTGGGACTTTAGTTCTATATAATAAAAGGCTAATATGCAAATAGACTGAACAGCAGGACAACTGAACAACTGAACAACCGTTCACTATGGTGTGCACTGGCCACCAGGGGGTGTGCATGGAACATGGCAGCCATTGACAGCAGGTGGCAGAATGTGGAACATAGCGGGCATTGGCCATGGCGAGATGGTGAAGCAGGTGAGCAGGGGCACCAGACCAAGGCAGGACACTGGTCACTATTATTGGGGCGAGCCTCTGGTGGTTATTGAAAATTCTTTGCTCCTACATGCCGTGGTCCCTGCTGGCACTTGCACCTGCTGCTGGCATGGGCCCTGCTCACACCCGCTGCCAGCCCTGGAGCCGCTGCTGACACTGACTGCTGGTTCCGGTCCTGCTTGCACCCGCTGCTGGAGGCTGGCGTTGGTCCCGATTGCTTGACGCTGTCAGCAGGTGCATGCAGGGTCAACACCGTCAGCACATAGGAGTGGCAGCAGTGGGAGCAGTACTGATGGCAGACAGGGAATCAGGGGCCATGGTGGGAGGGGAGGATGGACTGAGACCTGCCCCTGTGCCCACCACAGCCTCATGGCCCACAGTTCCTTTCAAGGTGCATGAATTCATGAACTGGGCCCCTAGTTTGTAATAATAAGGGTGCATCTATCTTATAAAATCAGTACTATAATAATTTTTTGCTCTAAATTTGAAAGCTTTAATAAGATATAAGCCACCATAAAACAGTTAAAAGACAAGGAAGTATATTTATAAAGTTCAAACTACATAGCAAACACTCTCTTTTTTATTTTTTATTGATTTTTTACAGAGAGGAAGGGAGAGGGATAGTTAGAAACATCGATGAGAAATAAACATAGATCAGCTGCTTCCTGAACACCCCCTACTGGGGATGTGCCCACAACCAAGGTACATGCCCTTGACCAGAATTGAACCTGGGACCCTTCAGTCCACAGGCTGATGCTCTATCCACTGAGCCAAACTGTCTAGGGCAGCAAACACTCTCTTACCATTAAATAAAGGACAATCATCTCAACTGATTACATTGGCCCAAAATAAACCAGCAATTGACAGACCAGGCAATTAACTGTAAATGGCCAATAGGCACAAAAACCTGTTCAACCGACCATGTAATCTGAGAATGCAAATGAACAGGATGCATTCCCTTATTTGGCACCTCTGTGAAGTCTGGGTGTGGAGAGATGGCTCATGGCTAATGGTAGCAGAATATAGTGTTTCAGCCACTAGGAAGGAAATTTGGTAGGATCTGTAAACAATTAAATATTAGTACTCCTTACCTCAAACAATTTTACCTTTTGGTTTTTTCATAGGACAAACAATTGTACATATGCAAAAAAATATATGTATAATTGTTATTTATTGTGATTTCTTGGTAACAGTAAACAACTGAAATGAAAATAAATGGTTTAAATGGAACATAATTTAAAAATTTTAAAAATTTTGGTATATCAGTTCCATGGTGTAATATGCAGCTGTTAAGAGTGAGGAGGATCCATATGTTTATTAACATGAAAAGACCTCTAATAATTTTAATATTAAAAAATTTTAAATGTAAAATGCAGAATGGTTTCTAAAAAATAATCTTATTCAACAAAAAACAAAACACATATTATTTTTTAGAAAAATAACTTATATGTGTAAATTTAAAGAGAAAGATATAAAATGCCATGCCCACAATACTCAACAGGACCAGAATTGGAAGCTACAGTGGGGTGGGTGGTGAAATAGAACTTTTTCCTTCTACATACATCCATGTCATTTAAAATTTTATGACCAAGATTGTGTAATGTGTTTCTTTTGTATTAAAAAGATATCCAATAAAACATATTAAATAACTAGAGGCCTGGTGCACGAAATTTGTGCACCGGTGGGGGGGGGGCTATCTTTCAGCCCAGCTTGCACCCTTTCCAATTTGGGACCCTTCGGGGGATGTCCAACTCACAAGCTGGGACTGCTGGCTCCCAACTGTTCACTTGCTTGGCAGTCTGTTCACCCCCTAACCACTCCCCTGCCAGCATGATCAAAGCCGAAGCCTAACTGCTCCCCTGACAGTCCAATTGTCCCTAACTGCCCTCCCATGAAGGCCGGGTCTCCCCCCCCCCCAACTGGCCTCTCTCCCTTGCTGGCCTGATCACCCGCAACTGCCCTCCCCTGCAGGCCATCTTGTGGCAGCCATCTTGTGACTACATGGGAGTGACCATCATGTGAGAGGGCATGATGGTCAATTTGCATATCACTGCTTTATTATATAGGATGTTATTTCTGACCCATTACTAGAGAAAAGAACAGAATTTCTAGCCACTGCCTTGTCAGAGATATAACCCATTAATAAGCAGAAATTCAAAGTACAGATGAAAATACTCAACCTACATTATTCTTTCCCATCTTGTCTTTCCTCTTCCTTTTACTCCCTTAGATTAAGATCCCTGGGGGAAGAACCCAGAACCTTAGCCAGAGATGGGAATAAGCCCAGGCTGACCACTCCTCAGTTCAGGTAGGAGACCATGGCATCTAGAATTTTATATTTCTAAAGTACCTACTTTAGAACAGCCTAGGTTAAGGCAAAGGGGGACTGAGGGAAATGAGAGCATTCAGACATCATGAAAAAATAACAAATCACTGTCTCAAAGCATCAGAAATGACAGCTGAGTCTAGATGGGCTGCCAGCTGAGCAGTAGCTGTAAGACAAGAGTTCTGTGGGTGTTGGCAGCTGCACTCACACCAGCAGCTGTCCCTCTGCAGTTTAAAGATCTGATTCCCTCACTTGTATTCCTGCATTTCATTACATTGCACAAGAGTGTTCTTGTAAAGCAGGATGAGGTCAATGTTTACACGAGTGTCTAATGACACCAAAGCAGCAGCACAACCTGAGAAAAAGTTAAAGGGAGACAGAGACTGACCTGGTGCTGAGTTCAGTGCCCCCACTGGCCATCGTCTTGCCCTGGGCCCTTTCTGGGCCTGGAGCCCTCCTGTGTCCCCAGCCTGTGTCTAGTGTGGCTGCCCAGCCCTGAGCAGGAAGTGTGTACAATCACCCGGGGAGAGCTCCTCCCAAATGGGGAAATTAGAAGTGAAACTAACTTTCGGAGTGTTTTCAGACATATCTCCCTCCTTCTGCAGCCCCGCAGTAGTTCTCAGCCATCAGGACATGTGGCAGTAGGAATGGAGGACAAAAAGAGACAGTCAGGACCAGGAGTCAAGGGGAGGAGGACCCAAGGGGAGGGGCAGGGCCAGCCCCCAGGAGTCTTCTTGTTTGAGCAATGACTCCAAAAACAGGAAAATAGTCTAGCTATGGACCTGGAAACCTGGAGAGCAGGAGAGGCAGTGACTCAAAAGGGACAGGGGGCAGAGAAAAAACCCAGGGGACATGCTTCCCTAGGTTCACCAGGAGCAGCTTCCATTCAGACCACAGTAATGGGCTGAGTCTCTAGCCTGGGAGATCCTGTGGGGACAGGGTTTGTCTATGAGAGGAGGCAGAGTCTCAGACCTGAGAATTCAGGGGCAGGAGGAAGCGAAGGCAACAGCATCAGCAGCCTCTGGTGCAGAGCATGAAGACCTGGCACCTCTGTGATGCAGAAATGGAGAGGCGGGGCACCTGGGACCCAAGTGGGAGCACTCAGGCCCCACACCGATGGCCCCTTCTGGGATGTGGCCCATCAGTCAGCAGGACTCCTGGCCCCCTTGCCCTCCTTTCTTCCTAGGGAGTCTCTGAGGCTGGGAGTTCTGTGAAGGTGAGTCTGCTCCTTGGTGGGTCTCCCTGGACTCATCCTGCTGGAGGGCAAAGGCTCTGTGCTCCTCTGAGCTCCAGTGCACAGGGACAGCGACCTGGGGTGTGGGGAATGTGTGTGGTTGATTGGAGCAGCCTTGGGCCTTGTGGATAAGCCCAGTTCTGGGGTTCAGATTGAGGAATTACTTTTTGACACACAACCAAACCATGTCCCCAGCTTTTATGAGGAAGAAAGCTGGTATTTTGCTCCCCATCTGTCTCATGTTTTTGCCTGTCAGTTGGTTTGGAATTCAGATGGAAAGGCATGCATTTTTTTTTTTTTCTTTTTTGCAGGGGGTAGGGGGGGGCGGGGAAACAAACACCTTGAAAGGAGTCAAGCACCTGGGTGTATGTCTTGCTCCTTGAGTTCTTGTCCATTTATGCCCTAGATGGGTAAAGAGGTGGGGAATCATACCCCTGGCAATTGCATGGTTGTGTAGACTTGATGGCACTCAATGGCAATATTTCAGTTTTTAGGGACTGGGGTGTGGTAGAACTTAGTAGAACCTTTGTGACTGGGTTCAGTGTGGGTACAGTTGTGGACTCCTGAGTCTTCCTACAAAGCTGGTAAGAATCCAGATGGGTTGTTGGAGGGGAAATGTGATTATCTCTATAGAGAAGGCACCAAATCCTTGGAAAAGGGGTCTGGAAGAGATATCTGGGCAGAGGAAGAAGAGGTTAAGGAATGAGGTTAAGTTAAGGCATGCAGAAGAGTAGGAGACTATAGGGGAGCACAGTAATCCTATCTGGGCCACATTCGGAAGGTCTAGGGCTATGCATGAGAAACACCACTCTGCATGCCGAAGAGGAAGGAGGCTGGATCAGGGCCCCATAGCCTGTCCCAACCCACAGTCGCCACCATCACTACAGCCCTTTATTTGGAGCCCTGGGCTCCACCTCAGGGGAAGTTAGTGACCTGTATCCAGAACGGAACAAGGATAGATTTTCGTGGTACCTGTGCTGGGCTGCATATCTGGCGCTTCGGCCAGGCATGGCATGCTGTGCTCTCTGTTCCTAAAACACATAGATAAGAATGTGCTGGCGCTTCGGCCAGGTTTCGGCACGCTGTACTCTGTTCCTAGAGCACATAGATAGGAAAGTGGTCACTGTACTGATGCTGTACTATGTCGGGAACAAATTGTGTAAACAAGGCTTTTAACTAACTTTGTGGTTTTTGCAAATACAAATGCTGTAACTCCTGTAGTTGGCACTGCAGTTCAGCCTTTGCTTTGGCAGAGTGCTGTAACTGTAGTTGCTGGCCAGCTTAATAAAGGCTCCTAAATCTTGATCTGAGTCCCTGGTGGTTGTCTCTGTGGGTCACCCCATTACGGTACCCTGGTTACTGCTGGTTAGCACCACACACCCTGAAACCCCCTGAAACCACAGAATGCCTCTCTCTCATGACCACCCAGCCTCAGACACACGGTGTGGACACAAACAAAGGAAGGACCCTGTTACTGCCATCACATTTCTCATTTTATCGTCTAAGAGTCCCCATTACCATCAGCTGGGTAGCCCTTTCCTCCCAGACTTGACTCCAGCCACATCTGCACTTCCCCCTATTCGTCGAGCATGGTATTAGTAATGGATGAAGGGGGGACTTGCAGAAATATTAAGAGTGGGGCTTCACTGTTCATTCAATGGCCTCCTTCACTGGTACATCCAAGCTTCTTGTGGTGCCCAGCCCAGCTAACACTCCGGGACCAGCTGGGAGACCCAGGTCAAGGTAACTCCCAAGAAACATCCCCCACCCCTCCATGAGGGCAGGAATGAAACCTACAGCCTCTTTAGAACTGCATCTGATTGCCTGTTTAGAGAAACCCAAACTAACAATCCCTTATCTCTAAAGATTGTTAGACCACTGGTGGTACACGAGGTCCGAAAAGGTCACCATGATTAGTAATGGATGAAGGGGGGACATGTTATCCTGTTCTCTCAAGATTGTGTATATCTAAACCCTATAAATTAGCAACAGAAGCACCATTATTTCTATCTAAATAAAGGTGAAATGACTTATGGATTTGATTCTGAGGTAATTTTGATATTTGGCAGTTCATGAGCACAAAAACCAGCTTATGACATGGACAGAGAAGTATGGGTTTAAAATGGAGAAGGGTCCTAAACTGTGGCCCCTCCCACCCCCTCAGAACCCCTCTGTTTCCCAGAGAGGTTCATTCTGTTCTGAAGCCCCATAGTGACCTTGCCGTTTTCACCTTCCTGGAGACAAAACTGCTCAAACCTGCTCCTCCTTGGCTTGAGACTGGCATTCCTAGGGTGCACTCAAGAGAATCATTCTGACATCCCTGCCAGGAATGTTGATTTTACTAGGTTGTGAGCTATGTAAAGCAATTAAAATTATTAAACAAGTTAAAAAATGAATGACATAGAGTGACTGATTAAGAGAAAATGTGAGATTTTAAGGAAGTTGTGGGGTATCATATCTGCCATGCCCCAACCCCTGTCCCCCTGGGGGATTGTCTTCACCTTCCTCCACCAGTAGGGTTCTCTGCCTCCTGGAGGATCGAAACCTTAGTGTCTTAGCCTCACCCAACTCTTATTGACTCGGATGTCAAACTGCGTGACTGAAAAATCAGGCTGACCTTTTATGGGGTTCACCACGTTTAATCCCGGGAATCTTGGTGGAATCTTGCTGCCATCACTGGGACCAGGCATTTCCACATCAGACTTGCCTCATAAGAAAAAAGCAAGGCTGTAAGTTTCAGTCCTGCCCCTAGGAAGGGGGAGGGATGTTTCTTGGGAGTTACCTCGACCTGGGGTCTCCCAGTGAGACCCAGAGTGTTAGCTGGGCTGGGCACCACAAGAAGCTGGGATGTACCAGTGAAGGAGGCCATTGAATGAACAGTGAAGCTCCACTCTTAATATTTCTGCAAGTTCCCCCTTCATCCATTACTAATCATGGTGACCCTTTTGGACCTCACGGACCACCAGTGGTCTTCGGACCACCGGTTGGTGAATGTCCTGAACCTTAGCATAGACAAGCGATGCATATGTAGCCAGAAAAGTCATACACTTAGCTCATTCTAATGATCTCCACTCAGCACACAGAAGGTGGCCATTGGGCAGCGGCCTTTGCTTCTTTTGGCTTGTAAGTGGGTGCTTCTGTTGAGTGGAGGATCCATGGATGGGATCTCAGAGTTGCTGAATGGAACAGAAGCAGTGGAGGTGGCCCCTGAAGCTTCGTGAAGACTCAGTGGTTGTGAAACAGGAGAGGGATGTCATAAGGAAGCGCCACCAGGGGAGAAGGATCAATTAAACTGTCCCTGCACAGAGAGACTCAGAGGGATACACTCAGAGAAGAATGCACAAAGGACTTCTGCCTAAATTAAAGATTCCAGAATAGCTATTCTTATTGATTTCAATAAATTTGTTCCAGGCCACTTAAAAAGTCCTTTTTACCTATTTATTTTATTTTTTAAGACTTTAAAAAAATTTATTTTTATTGATTTCAGAGAGGAAGGGAGAGGGAGATAGAGATAGAAACATCAATGATGAGAGAGAATCATTTATTGGCTGCCTACTGCACACCCTCTCCCCACTAGGGAACGAGCCCCCAATCCAGGCATGTGCCCTGACTGGGAATTTCTGGTTGGATTGGTTTGTTTTTATAGTTTCTCTTTTTGGTTAAACTTCTCATTTGGTTCATTTTTTTTAAGTTGTCTGTCTATGGGTTCTTATAGTTCACTGAACTTCTTTAAGAGGATTTTTCTAAATTCTTTGTCAGACATCTTATATATCCCCCCCATTTCTTTAAGGGTAGTTATTAGAATTTATTAGTTTATTTTTTTTGTAGTAGTGCAATGTTTACCCGAATATCCATGATCCTTGATTCCCTTTGTTTGGTATCAGTGCACATAAATAAGCAATCTCCTCTCATAAACTTTACAGGTTCACTTCACCAGAAAAATGCCTTCATTAGTCAGCTCAGGTTGGAATACAGTACAGGAGAGCTGATAGCATCTATGGGAAGATGGGCATGTCATCAGGGTCTCAGTTGGGAAGGCCAGTGCCTGTGCTCTGTGGTTGGTGGTTGGATGATGGCTGAGCTCTGTGGTTTGGTGAACTTGCAGGTTGGGCTCCCTGATCAGGCACAACTGCTGGCTGTACTCTGGGGCTTAATGGGTCCACTTTCTGAGCTCTACAATCACCTCTTGTTGAGGGAGGTTTCAGCCTGTGTTTTGTGGTATGTTGTTGCCAAATGTTGCACTCTGTAATTTGTCAGCGTTACAGGCTGGGCTCTGCAATAGCTCCTGGTTGGGTAGAGTTTCAAGCTGTGTTCCCTAGTCTGATGGTGTCTCTGGCTGGACTTAATGCTCAGTTGGGGCTACTATAAGGGCTTCACACTCATACTGGGCCTTCGATTGTGATCTGAGATCTGGTGATGCCATTGGTTGTTCCCTGAATTTGGCTGTGCTACAGGGTGGGCTTCACAATAAGTTAACTTTCTGGCTTTTCTCTGATGTTGGACATGGTTATTGGCTAAATTTTCTGATTGAGAGGGTCCTCCAGTGGCATACTGCATTGGATGGGGATAGAGACTGTTCCACGTTGAGCAGAGTCACCTCCAGGATTTCTCATTGGGTGAAGCTAGGCTGCCTGAATGGATGAGGGCATAGGCTGTATTAATCAACTGGATAGGCCATTGGCGGGGCTCTGCTAATAAGATAGAGTTATAGATATGGTTCCATGGGTCACCTGAACCATAGGCTTGTCACCATGGCTATCTGGGTTCTCTGGATTAGCTTTCTAAAGGACCAGGACTGGCTGGCCAGCAGGGCTCAGTGGTTGTGTGTGGGAGTGAATCCTGGAAAAACTATGTTAGAATATAAAATAGGGATGGCAGATGCCTATTTCAGCCATCTGATCATCTATTGATAGTCTCTTTGGATGACATATTGCTTCCCATTACACAAATTACTCATCTTGCTGTGACAGTTAGTACATGTT